GGGATCAACAAAGAAATTCCAAAACAGACTTGATTGTGAGCAATATTTACTTAAAAGCGTGTATGAGTCTAACATTAATGTCTTGGATAAATCTGGGTTCTACTTGAAAAATGAGAAAATTCGCATAAACCAACAAGTGGTCTTGTGAGTGGTGGATAAATTGTGATTGCATTTGCTTTTTAAGTACTTTTTAATTGCCTTGTTTTGCAATTTTTATTTTATGTTTTGCTTTTTTCTTGTTGGGGTTTAGTACCCTCTCAATTTTTCTTCGGAAAATACATTTTAGTCCTCAAATTATGTGCATATGTCAATTTGGCTCCCAATCTTTCAATTATACCAATTTGCTCCCACAAGTATTCAATCGTTTTGGTCTAATAAAAAACATCAGCTTAGATTGACTAACAGAGATAATCACGTGAAACTTACGTGACTACAATTGAGGGGCATTCTTTGGACACATAAGAGACTAAAATGACAAATTGCAAAAGTGAGGATGAAAATGACGCATATTACAAAATTAAGGGACTGAAATATCAACTTAGACTGTCATTTTCGATTGGACCCAAGTGAAATAAGTTAAAAACTTGAGGGAATAAATTGAAGCAATTAAAAAATTAAAGATCAAAGTGACACAAAGTACATAATTTAGGGGCTATTATTATATTTCACTCATTTTTCTTTTTTGTTCTAGTACCTTCTCTAACCTTAATGAGGAGATGTATAGTAATATAGATAAAACAGTATATGCATTATTCACCATCAAAATGTGTTTAAATCACTTTTGCAAAATAATGACTAAGCATGATATCGACTTTTTTGGAGATTTTTTATTTTTTATTTTTTATGTTTGAAACATTGCTTAAAAACCGTCTCCAAACGGCACCAGATGTCCTTATTAGTTATCAACCTGTACCCCCAATTCAACCGGCCAATTTAGTCTGATAAAGATTGGGAAGAAAAAGTAAAAAGAAAGGGGATGCACAAACAAATGAAGTACAAAAACATATGGTACGTACTATAGATAAGGATAACAATTGGGAAAACATGTCAAATGCATGAATTTTGAGTTATCAGCAATCTTGGTTTCAAATTTAGACAACTGAATATTCAACGATCAATAATCAATATTTCACAGCTTATAGGTAGACCTTCATTGAAATCTGACTGTATTACTTGCACCACATGGTTTCCTGAATATTTTTGGGTTGTTGACAAAAATGTGCAGATTGGATTTTTATACAAAATTTCTATATATAATGATGAGTTGTTTCAGCATGCACCAAAGACCATTAGTATTTTTGCGATCTTAAAAATATTGTTAGCAGGCCCTTTTTGTAAGATTTTATTACAAACATTTTGTTTTGTTTATGATTTTCCTTCTCTTTCTTTCCCTAGCCTATTTCCTTGATGAATGAACATGGAAAATTTAGGTTAATACATGTTGGTAATCACTTTGAAGTATTGTAAAAACAATACGTCTACGAAAAATTATTGAGGTTTAAATTTCAAAGGCTGTGCAAACCATTTTTCATTTTTTCAAGTAACGTGCTTTCATTTCTTGTAGATTAAGTTAATTCTAGATGATTTTCACCTTAGGCTAGACATGACACAAGTATTCAAACACAATGTTCACACCGTTCAAGTCTTAGAAAAGTACACCAAAAGCACTATAAATAGGGACATATAGCAACACCAAATTTGCAACAAATTTAAAGATGAGAACCACAACAAGTTTATTGTTTTCACTTTTTTTTCTTTCCTCAACTTCATGGGCAGCTTCCGCTCCTTCTCACGAAGATTTTCTTCAATGTCTTTCCCTTCATTCTCAGAACTCAAACTCACTATCCAATGTCATTTACACCCCAAACAATGCCTCATATTTATCAATCTTATTATCATCCGTACGAAACTTGCGGTTTATACCACCTGCTAAGTTAGAATCTCCGATAATTGTTACACCATTGCATGAATCTCAAATTCAGGCAGCCATATATTGTTCAAGAAAGCTTGGCATGGAGGTCAGAGTTCGGAGTAGAGGACATGATTATGAAGGCCTTTCTTTCCTTTCAGAAGTCCCTTTCGTAATAATTGATATGAGAAATCTTCAATCAATCTCCATTGACACTCAAAAGAATACTGCATGGGTCCAAGTTGGTGCCACAATTGGCCAGCTCTATTATAGGATTGCTGAAAAGAGTCGAACTCTTGCCTTTCCTGCTGGTGTTTGCCCTACAGTGGGTGTTGGTGGCCACTTTAGCGGGGGAGGGTATGGCATGATATCTCGTAAATATGGCATTGCAGCAGATAATATTGTTGATGCACAAATCATCGACGTTAATGGAAGAATTCTTGACCGAAAATCTATGGGGGAAGACCTCTTTTGGGCCATTAGAGGAGGTGGAGGTGCTAGCTTTGGAGTCATTGTTGCATGGAAGATAAAATTACATGTTGTTCCACAACATGTAACTGTTTTCAATGTAACCAGGACTTTGGAGCAAAATGCGACCAAGCTTGTGCATCGGTGGCAATATGTTGCAGACAAGATTGATGAGAATCTACTCATCCGACTTTTCTTAAGAACTACCAATTCCACTTCAGATGGAAAGAAAACGATACAAGCTGCCTTCACTACTTTGTTTCTTGGTGGAGTTGATGAACTCCTCCCATTGATGCAAGAAAGTTTCCCTGAGCTAGGTTTGGTGAAAGAAGATTGTACGGAAATGAGTTGGATCGAATCTATCCTCTACTTTGCAGGCTTTCCGAGTGGAGAATCACCAGATATTTTGCGTGATGGGATTGCTGTTGGTAGATATGAGCTCTCTTTTTTCAAAGGAAAATCAGACTATGTGAAAGAGCCTATTTCTGAAAACGGACTGGAAAGGATTTGGGAATGGTTATATGAGGAAGAAGTCGGGGCAGCCGAGTTGCAATTTAGTCCTTACGGTGGAAGATTGGGTCAAATTGTGGAGTCTGAGATACCTTTCCCTCATAGATCAGGGAATATTTATATGATACATTATGGTGTGGGCTGGGCTGAAGAAGGGACAGCAGCGGCAGAAAGGCATTTGAGTTGGATTCGAAGGCTTTATAGTTTCATGGCTTCTTATGTTTCCAAGTCTCCAAGAGCTGCGTATCTCAACTATAGGGATCTTGACTTGGGTGTGAACAATAAAGACAACACAAGCTATACACAAGCAAGTATTTGGGGTCTTCGATATTTCGAGAACAACTTCAAGAGATTGGTACGAGTGAAGACGATGGTTGATCCCAGTAATTTCTTTAGAAATGAACAAAGCATTCCTTCTATATCACCTTGGTGGAAGAAGAAAGGTGATTAATTGGATCCTAGAGAAGATTAGAAAGTGTTGCCTAAGTGCTGCATCTTTTATATTATATTCATAAATAAAGCTCATTGGATATAGAGCAGATGTTTATGTACTTTACATATGAAACGCATAATAAAAGTTTGATTGCTTAATTTCATATCTAGATTGATAATTTGATCTTATTTGCTTGATTAGAGTAAAAATTGCATGTCAAAAGAAAAAGAAAGAGAAGAAGAAGAAAGAAAGAAACTTAATTTGAACATTGTGCCGGTCTGACCCAAGTAGAAAAACATTCGCCCCTTGTTATAACCCCTAGTATAGCCACTTTTTTTCAGAATCCTCATTTCTATCGGCTGTGATCCTTATTGATCCTTCATAGGAAGGTTGTGAAATAGTGGCTTGTTCCTTTCGTGAGTAAGCATAAGCAACCATTAAGGGATATACAAATTATCTGTTGGGTTCCACTTTTTATCCTTAAATTATAATCTCGGTCCCACTTCATAATTTTGACCTTTGAACAACTTAAATTAGTTTTATATTATCTCAAACCCAATGTTTTCTATGTTTTTGATAGAAAATATTTTACGTGCAATTATGTTTTTGGACATTAAGTGAAAGAAAATTGCATAGCTTGGAGGAAAATTTGAATCAACTTTCTATTTCAGTTAGAACAAATGTCCCTTTAACTGGGCTAAGGCGAAACCAATAACCTTAATTAGTTAGTGGTACAATCTGAAAAATATGGTAGTTGAGTGAGAAATGTAAGATATGGACAATTATGAGGTTATAGTGTAACATATCCATTGGTTTTACGTTGAATGAATTTTTTTTTTTTTTGGTAGGGGGAGTAGGGAGGGGGTAGGGGGGAGGGGGATGTTTAATGGATTCGTCATAATTCATCAATTTCAATTTCAATGCTCCTACGCAAAGTTGTGCTACGCCAATTTTGAAATTGAGATGTAAAGTGGTCCATTGTCTTTTAGGCAGTTCATGCTTGTATTCTAAGCTATGTAATCAGGCTGGTACTATCAAACAAATTACCCTCCATTCTAAAGGACTGCAATGAATCACAATGACTTTAAGCCCATTTTTAATCTCATGCGATGTTCATAGCCCAAGTATTGCAGAATTGCAACCGAGTGTTCGTGATTTGATTTTGATATTCAGATTTGTGTACCCTATATCTACTTAATGGCATTATCTCAAAATTCTAAATTTTCCAACTGGTCCAGTTGGGGACACAATGCTATTGTGCATTAATGTCGTTGTGGATCCAAGTCTACTGTGAAAACATCATGAACACAAGGCAATATGGGCATGAGGTTTTACGGATGCGCACGCTATGGGGTACCAATTTAGTCTTGAAATTAAGTTAATAATTGTATAAAATGATTCTTACTCATTGCAACTTTGATCTAATTTAGATTTGACCACCTTTTTTTTTTCCAAAGATAAAATGTATTAATATAAAACGGATATACAATGGTAATCACCCGCAAAATGTCCAATGAAGTCACTGAGAACTCAAAGACAGAAACAAGAAAACCCAAAAATCCAAGGCTCAAGACACAAGTCTGTAAGAGATGCCCTGAGTGAGAGCATCTACCATAGAATTGTTGACAAGAATACATTTGTAGGGAAAAAAAGAGCATGAAACCAATTCTTCAAACTCGATCAATAGAAACAAACAAGGACAAATCTGCCCCTTAAACCACTGATATGCAAAATAGCAGCAGCAAACATCAAGTGGACAGCCCAGAACAACGCAAAAACAGCAGCATAGCAAGCCATAGCAGTAGCAAAAATCAGAACAGCCATAGCAGTAGGATAGCAAGCCATAGCAGCAGCAGCAAAAATCAGAACAAAGCAAAGCAGCCCATCTCAACATAGCAGCAGCAAACATCAAGCGGACAGCCACAGAACAGAGCAAAAACAGCCCAGAACAAAGCAAAAACAGCAGCATAGCAAGCCATAGCAGCAGCAAAAATCAGAACAAAGCAAAGCAGCCCATCTCAATATAGCAGCAGCAAACATCAAGGGGACAGCCACAGAACAAAGCAAAACACAGCCCAGCTCCACATAGCAGCAACAACCCATTTGTAGTAGAAAAACAGAAGAAGGCAAACCAGCCCAGCTCAGCATAGCAGCAACAACCCATTTGCAGTAGTAAAACAGAACACGGCAAAACAGTCTAGCTCAACATAGTAGCAACAACCATCAAGCTGTAACAGTGGGCAGCAGACATAGCAACCATTTGACCACCTTGCGGATTCTTTGAGTGGATAATGTGCCAAAGAAGCAGAGACCTGGTACTGAAGGTGGCAAATAAGATTAGGAGGCTGGAAATGAATCAGAAAAAATTAGTCACAATACTTAGATTGTATCAAATTATGACTGATATGAATTATGAAATTTGTTGCTGTTTCATCTAGTTGCATTTCATACATGAATGAATGATAGAGATGCTTAAATAATAATTCCATATCACATAACCAAAATAGTTCCATTACAAAAAGTAGTCACTTACTCTCCCCTCCCAATGGTACCAGTCCCAGAACCAACCCCCTAGTAGTAGAATCACCTATCCTAGAAACCCCCATGCTAGAACCATCCGCTCTCCCAGCCACTCCTCCAACGCCATGCAACCCACTTCCAACCTAAACAGATCCCCTTCCTCTACCCCTTCTTGGTGGTACCTTCATTCTTTGTGGAGGTGTTGGATCAATGCAATGTATCCCACTTGGTCCATGAGATGCCTGCACATAAAACAAGATTAAGACCCAATTGGCAACTTTTCAACATTTTTTTCCACCACTTCTACTTGTTATTCCACTCTATCAGCAAGTAGGGCTTGAATATTTACGATTTCGCAGGGTATCCATCAATGATAGAGAGAGAAGGAGAGAGAGAGAGAGA